CACGCACAGTCAATTCCAATATTAAAACGAGGCTTCAAAATCTTATTATAATCTCGACAGGTTTTATTCTATTCTTTCACTCTCAGCGATTCGCCTAATTAAGTGCTGGACCCGCTTTTGTACTCCTGCAAAATGCTTTTGTGCATCCAAGAGTGTATAATTGTTCGAGAAGAGAAAAAAAAAAGTCTAAAGCACAAAAAAAAGAACCCTGACATTTTCTTCGAACTAAAGAAAATAGGATTTTTTTAACCTTCAGAAGTTTGATCTTGAGACTTTTGGAAAAAGGAGAAAGAAATTAAAAAGAATACGGAATGTAAAAAAAAAATTTCCTTTTCAACGAATTCGATTTTTCCACACATTAATTGCTCGCGAACCTTTTCGAGAGACTAGGTCGTTAAAGTAGTTTTACCAAAGGGAAGGGCGGAGGAAATTAACGGCAATTAAAGTCAATTAAAAAGTAAGAGGCCATTGTCACCGGTTTAGCAATTGATAAGAATCTTCCGCGTCAGTCGTGCCTGAAATTATAAGGAGAACATTGTTAAGAAAGTGTGCGCTTACAACTTCTTTGTACATGTGGCAAACTGACGAAAAATACCAACTCTAAACCGGAAATTACACAAAAAAAAAAAAATGAATAAATAAAAAAGTTAACCTTGATGAAATTCTATTAAAATCAAGGTAATCATTGCTTTTTTTTATACGTAATTATTTTTAATTATATTTGAATTAAAATATTTGTTTAGAATTACGGAAATAGTTTTTTTTTCTTTTACGAAAAAAATAGTAAAAATTTAAATAAACGTATATTTAAAGGCGGTGAGAATATATATCTATTTTTTTTTAAATAGACGCAAAAATTGTTAAAGGAAAAGTACCATAGTAATAAATGGGATCAAAAGTCGAGTTAGGTTCACAAACATGGGAAGTTTGAATGGTTTTTCAAAGCTGTTAGTTATTGGCCCTAAAGCCAAGAAAGGCAAACGACCGAGAGTGGCGTGAATTACGAGGGAGGAAGGTTTTTAGAACGCACACATGCGCTCGTCACGTGCTGCTGCTGCAAGCTACAAAAACACAAGGCAAAATCGAGGAAGCCATTTGACCTTTTTTTTCTTTCTTTTTTTTTTTTTTTGTTATGCTCGAATTCCAAAACGCAGTGAAACCCATTGCAAATTTATAAAAATTTCGTACAAAAATATTTAATTTTTTCTCTCTTTAACAAAAATTAAAATAAAAACGCGTTTATCAAGGATAAAATATTCGTTTCGAATAAAACTTCTTTTTGCTACAAAAAATAACGTCTCAGCTGACAAATGGCCATTGATAACAAATATAACTTGATAACAACCCATACTTAAATTAACAAGATTTATTATATTTCTCATTTAAAGTTCAAATCAGTTTACTCAATGAAGAATTTTTTTTTAATTTTATATAAAATTTATCTATTTATTATAATATATTATATTGTAATTGATTATATATATATATATATATATATATATAATAATTTATTATAATAAATTAAAAAATAAATTATAAAATAAATTTAGAATTAAAAAATAAATCTCTATTTCTCCTCATGAAAAGAGGAGAAAATATTACTTCAAAAAAAATTTTTTTTGACTTTCTTTTTTGTCAATAATAATAGTGAAAACAATGACATTTTTTTTTGGCACAATTTACAGAATTGTTCTTGTTATCTGTGAATGCAACAATAATTTTGTGTCTTACAATATTGCAAATAGACAACGGGCATAGTTTTGTTATCTTTAGTTAGAAGGGGGCATTTATACTTTCTTGACAGTTATACACTCTCGCTTCAAAAAGCGCGCGCGACTTATCATTGAAAGCCACTGTGTTGATTCAGTATAAACTTCCAATCGGAGATCATTTTCTTCTTTCCCAGAAAAGATCACCCTCCAGAATACATATTTTTTTTAATCTCATAAAAATGATTTCTAACTGAAAAGATAATATTTATCACATTCCCATATTTTTTTTGAAACAAAAAATTTTTTTTTTTAAATTATAAAAATAGGAAATATTTATTTTTTAAAATTATTAATTACAAAAATCAGTGTAAAATTACTATATTGTTTAAATAAAGTTATGCTGAAAAATTTCTTATTAAATATATAATATAGTCTTATCATAAGTGCGATAGTAAACCGCACACACTTGTCAATCAATAATAACAAGTCTTATCGGAAGACTATAGCCTATACCCTACTTAACATAACGTTAACTAAGTAATTACTTGCTCGATTATGTATTTCGATATTTTCTCTTAACCCAAGATTAGATTATTTTTTTTTTTCATATGAATAGAAAAAAATATTCTTTTCAATATAGAAAAATATTTTTCTTCAATAGGATATATATTTTCCGTCATGTAAACAGTGACTCATCATGATATGAAAATAATTTGTAGAGAAATAAATTATTTTGGTAAAGAAAAAAAAAACGTCTCTCTCAAGTTCATTTTGTAAACTAGAGCAAAATTTTTTAACACACTCATGGCATAATTTTCGTATAATAAATTTTATTACCTCATATGTATATATGTAGAAATGCGTGACTCAAGTTTTATCGTGAAAAATGATATAATGCACCACGCATGTTCAATTAAAACTCAAATATTACCGGGAACGATAAATTATTTTTTTTATATTTGAAAAAATTTTTGTAATCAACAGGAAGTTACTTTTTTTATCAAAAAAAAAAAACCATTAAATTTTTTATTTTGAAAAATATTTGATTGTACTGATTTTTTTTTAATTTTCTTATTTTTATTTAATTTAATGTAATTAATTATTAATTTTAAGGTAAATAAAAAAAAATTCATTTTTAAAATAAAATTCCATGCTAATATTTTCCTCACGATTATATAGAAAAGAAGTATTTTTAAATCGTTGAATAAAATAGGAATCGAATTGTAAATTCTGATTACGTTGAAAATTGACATTCATATCACGAACAATTCGACTTAGAGACAACTGTGATTATAAAGTATCCTGCGATCTATTATTGTTCGAACTTCTAATTTCGAAATCACAAACTAGCAATTTTATACAACCTATACTATTATCTTAAATTTTTAAGTTTTAATTATTTACAAAAACAAAAATTAAAATCCCTGGAATTTGAAACAAGAAAAATACCTTAGCGCGATAGGAAAAAAATCTTTCTCCAATTTGACTTCGAAAAAAAATTAACCTTGAAAATTTATTCAAACAATCGCAGTTCGTGACTTATTTCATAATTGGAAGATGTCCTCGAGAGGAAATGACAAATCGTCATTTTATAACCTTTGTATTTCTTTGTAAAAAGATGTTGACAAAGGTAACTGTTACACATGCTCGCAGATAAGAATGAATTATCTCAAAGAATGTTGAATACCTTCTATATATATATGCTATCATTCATGTCAAAAAAAAAAAAGGAAAAAAAAAATTAAATTAAATATAATGCGCAGAAATTATATTCCTTGAAACAAAGGGAACGGAGTAAATGCATCCTCCATTTAAAATTCTGAATTTTAGAAAGTCTTAACAAAACCAAAAAAGAAGAAAAATTGTTTTTAAAGACTCGATTCTTGAGTTTTTTTTTTTTGTATTCTCATGAATGTTTAAGTGAAACTCGATAAAAATTGAATTCAATTGCATTGGAAAAATAATGCAAGATAATGGGAGGTTACAAGATTGAAGTTCTTTTTTTTTATTTATATATATATATACATCAGCGAAATCTTGACTCTCTCATGGCCGCATGTGAAATCGATTGTATGATTGAGAAAAATATGCTATGAGTAATGTATGTTTGAAGGTTTCATGATTAAATTTTTTTCCTTGCATTACTTTAAATGCGAAAAACCTGGAAAAATTTAAAAAAAAAAACAGACTGAACTTTGTTTCAAGTATAATAATAATAATTGCTATTGGCACTTAAATTCCAAGAGATATAAATATAATCGAGCATAATGAATTCCAAGATGATGAGATGACCACTTCTGATGTCACTTCTTCTTCATATTAGTATTTTTTGCCTTTTTTTTATGCATTCTAAAATATAAACATATATAAATGTTTCCTTAGGGAAATATTTTTATTAGAAAAAAAAGTTACTTTAAAAGATTTCTTTTTTATCTTCTTTTTTTAATCTCTTCTTTTTTCTTTGCTTCTTTTGTATCTTTTTTTAAATCTTTGTAATTTTTCCAATGGTATTGGTATTTTTTAAAATGGAATATTTTGAGAAATGGAGAATTATAATAATTTTATAAAAGAAATTTTCCTACTACGTAGTCACAGACTCATGTTTCGTTCTAGAAAATCTGTATCATCTCAAGTTTAAGTATTTTCTTTCAGTTGTCAACCATTCACATAAGACGTATAGCAGTGTTCTGCAAAATATTGTCATCGTGGCAAAATTTTTTTTTCATGAGGCAACAATTTATATATCAAAAATTGACATTTTTTTTTTAATAAAACAAAAATCATAATTAGAAATAAATTTTCTATCGACCACAAAACAATTTGCTTTTTCCCAAAAAATTTTCACGTCTGCCAAAAAATTTTGTTCTCTTCACAAGTCCGATTTGTGTATTTCCCAAAATCAGCTGTTTTGTGGAGGCTGCAATTGCAGTTTGTAGATAGCACAAGAAATTTTTGTGTACAAAATTTTTAATTTGAGGAATAGTCTGTAAAAAAAGGAGATTTTTTTTGAAACCTAAAAGTCTGTAAAATAAAATATTTGAAGGCCAAATGATAGTCGATATTTATTTTTTTTTTTTTTTAACAGGCAACGTCGTAACCTGATGAAAATAAAACTTTGCCAACGTTAATATTTCAAACCGCAGTTGATTACAAAACTGACGGACGTCAGTTTTATCGACTGCCTGTATATCAACATATTCTCACACGCATACACATTGACAAACGTTACGAATATAAATAAATATTCCAAGTTTATAATCGGATTAAAAAAAAGTTATAAGGATTTACCTCTGAGCGAGATAAGATCGCATTCCTTGCGCGGCAAGTTTCATCAGTGATGTATCCACGTGCTCTCTCTCAACGGAAAGTATATCCCACTTGCGTAAACAGTATATCGATGCCGGCACATATGAAAATATCCTCTCGTTGTCATCAACAGTGACTGTCAACTTTTTTTTAAAACTTTTTATTTAAAAAAAAAAACAGAAACTTTATCACTGTTATCATAAATTTTGTTTTTTTTTTTTTAAATTTCAATTTTCAAACATTTTACAGAAAACCGCGCGCACCAAAATTATGCGCGGGTAAAATTTAAATCGATTCCCTCACGAATATTTTGCCTCGCGAATAATCCAATCGATGAGCTTGATAAACACTATCCTGAAGTGCATTAAACTTCACCACACAACCGGTCACCTTTCCATCGAAAAACCTCATCGCGAGTTCATTCACTCACACTTTGTTTGGTTCAAAAAAAAAAAAAGAAAAAAAAAGAAACAAGTATTTGACATTTCAATACATGTATTTGCATTTCTCATGTCTTTTCACATTTCTTACTATTTCAAAATAATTCATTTCGTTTAAATAAATTCCTCTAGTTAAATTTATCATAATCAAGTTCTTTCAAAATTTTTCAGTAAAGTTTCTAGAAATAAATTTCCAAATTCGATAGTTCCTATGAAAGAAAGCAAATTTCCAATATTTTTTTTATGGTAAAATATTTTGAATTAATATTTTGAAAAAAAATACTGTCTTAAAAAATTATGTCAATTGGAAAACATATATAAATATACAATGAGAAAAAGAAAATTTCGCGCCACGTGAAATGACATTTGAACAAGAGTCCGACCTCCGCGACGGTCGAAGTAACACTGAAAACGACCGCTGAGCTGAGCAATGCTCTAAGCAACCATGAAGAGGCAGGAGTCACATATTGCCGAACGGCTCGGCAACTCTCCTGGAAGCCAACAACGATGCTACCAAACCACCAGCTAACCGTTCGACAACGACTGATTCCATACTCGGGAACTCATCAATGCATTCAATTTTGCATCCTCTTCTCTTTAATACCAGTATACATATATACATATATCTCTACTAGAAACAGGTATCTTTAACCAAGTCTAGCATCTATTCCTCTTCATCCAGCTGTTTCTTCTCTTATATGTATATATATATAGATACAAACATCAACAAAGCCGGTATATATAGTTTGTATTATATAGAATAAAACATCTTGCATAGGTGAATAGACTTGAACACGTCGTGACACCGTGGCACATACGAGGCCTACTGCCCGAATGGATTCCTGTCTTATCACAATGTAATCTGTTTATAAGCGAACGCAAAATCAATTTTTATATATTGTTTTTCATTATTTTCAACGAGTTCAGCTCAAAAAATCAATATCAAATTGTTGTTTTAATTTCTGAGTGAGGAAATAGTATAATTTTTCCCTCTGGATATTTATCTGCATGAATTTTATCTCTAAATTTCCGTAAATTACCTAAAGATTTCTATTTTCCCAAAATTTCCTATAGATTTCTGTAAATTTCCATAAATTACCTATACAGTCTGTAAACTTCCATAAATTACATAAGGCTTTTTTTTGTAAACTTTCATAAATTTCCTATAGATTTCTGTAAATTTCCATAAATTACTTATAGATTTCTGTAAGTTTCAATAAATTACCTATCGATTGCTTTAAATTCCATAAAGTACCTTTAGGTTTTCATAAATTACTTATAGATTTTTGTAAGTTTCAATAAATTACCTATCGATTGCTTTAAATTCCATAAAGTACCTTTAGGTTTCCATAAATTACCTATTGATTTCTGTAAATTTAAATTCTCTAAGAATTTCTGTAAATTTCCTATAACTTTCTGTAAACTTCCATATATTACCTATATTACATATACTTCTGTAAGTTTAGATAAAGTACCCATAGATTTCTGTACATTTCCATAAATTACTTATAGATTTATGTAAGTTTCCATAAATTTCCTATTGATTTCTATAAACTTCGCAAGTATCTATAGGTTTCCAAAAACTACATATAGATCTATGTAAATTTCCATAAATTACCTATCGACATCTATAAACTTTCATAAGTTGCCTATAGATTTTTTTAAATTTCCTATATAGGTTTCTGTAAACTTCCATAAATTACCTATATTACATACCTCTGTAAAATTAGGTAAAGTATCTATAGATTTATGTAAGTTTCCATAAATTACCCATTGATTTCTTTAAACGTCCATAAAGTATCTTCAGGTTACAATAAATTACCTATCAATCTTTTGTAAAATTCAATAAATTATCTATAGATTTCTGTAAATTTTTATAAATTGCGCCTATAGGTTTATGCAAACTTCCATAAATTACCTCTATTACTTACTTCTGTAAATTTACATAAAGTGCCTAAAAATTTCTGTAAATTTCCATAAATTACTTAGAATTCTGTAAGTTTCCATAAATTACTTGTCGATTTCTTTAAATTTCCATAAAATATCTTTAGATTTTCATAAATTACCTATCGATTTCTATAAACTTTCATAAATTACCTATAAATTTCTGTAAGTTTCCTATAAGTTTCTGTAAATTTCCACAAATTACCTATAAATTTCTGTAAGTTTCCTATAAGTTTCTGTAAATTTCCACAAATTACCTATATTACATACTTTTGTAAATTTAGATAAAGTACCCATAGATTTCTGTACGTTTCCATAAATTACTTATAGATTTATGTAAGTTTCTATAAATTTCCTATTGATTTCTATAAACTTCGATAAAGTATCTTTATGTTTTCAAAAACTATCTATAGATCTATGTAAATTTCCATAAATTACATATCGATTTCTATACACTTTCATAAGTTGCCTATAGATTTTTGTAAATTTCCTATAGGTTTCTGTAAACTTCCATAAATTACCTATATTACATACCTCTGTAAATTTAGCTAAAGTATCTATAGATTTCTGTAAGTTTCCATAAATTACCCATCGATTTTTTTAAACGTCCATAAAGTATCTTCAGGTTACAATAAATTACCTATCAATCTTTTGTAAAATTCAATAAATTGTCTATATAGATTTCTGTAAATTTTTATAAATTGCGCCTATAGGTTTATGGAAACTTCCATAAATTACCTCTATTACCTACTTCTGTAAATTTACATAAAGTGCCTATAAATTTCTGTAAGTTTCCATAAATTAACTATAGATTTATGTAAGTTTCCATAAATTACCTGTAGATTTATCTAAATTCCCATAAATTACCCAATAGGTTTGTATAAATTTACATAAACTACCTATGTATAGATTTTGTAAACTTTCATAAAGTTACTTAAGGTTTCTATAAATTTTCATAAATTACCTATAGATCTTTGTAAATTACCATAAATTTCCAGAAATTACCTGTAAATTACCATAAATTACCAATATAAATTTTTATAAAATAAATCCTTACTTTATATAAGTTTCCAAAAAAAATTTTTTTTATAAATAACCAAATATTTCTAAAAGTTACATATTATTTTGTAAATTGCCAAAAATATTAACTTTCAAATTTGATACATAAAATAACTTAATTAAAAACTTGAATGTTTTTTAATTAACTTCAATAAATTGATAATTTACTCGCGAAGGTACTTAAATCAAAAAAGACAAAAGAGATTTATCGTCTTGTTGCGCGCGGGTAGTTACGCATATTTCTGGCCTTGTTTTATTATAAACATTCCAGAACTCACGTCTCATTTTTTCAAGGAAAAACACAGTACTATACTAGCAAAGAATCACCATAAGATTCAAGAAATCCATAATATTCTACTGATATACACACAAAACAATTTACAAGATTTTACAGAAAAAATTACTCATATTAAAAACCTCTATTAAAAACGGTATCTAAATTCCGTGTTTAACTTGCAAAGGAAAATGAAAAGAATATTATTTTTAAACCTATTTTAATGCAATTGGTAAATAAATAAAATTTTAATAAAACAATTTTTTATTGTAATTTATTTATATTAAAATTTACTTTTTTCAGAACAGACAAATAAATTATATTTTTAAATTTTTTTTTCAAAAAAATAAATAAATTACGCAACAAATTGAAGTGCAATGTAAATAAAAAAAAAAATAATTTTTCAAAGCAGTTATTGATCGATGCAGTTATACAATAATCTAACTTTTTTTTAATAAACCACTTTTCTATATAGTTTACACTCTGAATGAAAAGAAACAATTTTTCTAATACAAAATTATTTTATCTTTTTCTTTTCAAGTTTTATGAAATCTGACATTTCATTAGATTGTTGATTAAGATACGGTTACATTTAAAAAAAAAGGAAATGAAAGAAGTTTTGATTGTATATCAGAAATAATCAGATAAAACATATATATGTAAACTTTCTTTATATATATAATATATATGAGTTGTGAAATCTTCGCGCTTGTCAGAAATAAGTACGATTAACCCTTTCGTGTGTCTCTATCAATTTTTCCCGCGTGAGAAATATTGTCGAGAGAAAAAAAAAAGAGAGAGAGAGAGAGAGAGATCACTCCAATTATTTTGCACATATTCTCGTTAACGATAACAGCAGGCAATGTGCGGCTAATCGGTATAAGTCTATATGTATATATAGCTGCTTTGCAAAGTGGTAGACATTCGACAGACAGGAAAAATTTATGCCCCACGAAGTATATATATGCAGTCAGAGGTCAACATTTCGAAATTAAAACCTTTTTCATCGACTCAACAACTCAACGTTTCAGTTTGTTGCATTCTATTAAACTTCCTTGTTTCTATAATTTTTTTTTTTTTATTATTCCTTTATATCTATAATCTGTTATTAATCAGATTTATAAATAGGTAGCTGATTTGATAAATCATATAACAAGCATTTTGCGTTCAAATTCAAATAATAATCAGTTATTTTTTTCAATAATTTAGAGTCAAAAGTACGATTTTAAATTTACAAAATTACAAAAAAAAATTTTATTTATAAAGTACGATTTTAAATTTACAAAATTACAAAAAAAAATTTTATTTATAAAGTACGATTTTAAATTTACAAAATTACAAAAAAAATTTTTATTTATAATTTTGATATTTAATCAAAAATTTTTGTTTTTGATTTCAGTGTGCGTGAGGAAAACTAAGGAGAGCAATCATTTTAGTGGATCAACGAGATTTATGGTAAGTGAACTAAAAATTGAAAATTAAAAACAGAAATTATTTTTTAAAAATACAATTCCTTTTTTCTAGTATTTTACAATAAGAAAAAAATTCCTTTGAAACAACCAAATTTGTCAGAATTTTTATATTTCACATAATTTCTTTTTGCCAAAATTTTTAATGAAAAGAATTCTAATTTAGCCGAATTTTAATTTATCCTAATTATCATAAAACAGAATTTGAAGTGATGCAAATTTTTAAATGTCGGTTTTCTTTTTTTATACAATTTCGAATAAATTAAAATTCGTCGTTTTAAGAATTCTACCAAATAGAAATAACACATAAAAATTTAGGACAAATTAAAATTTGATGATTTGAAAATTCTATATATGTATTTAAAAAATTCGAAGCACTTAAAATTCTTATTAAATTGCGAAATTCGTTAAATTGAAATTCTTTCAAATAAAAAGTTGTGTAATGAGAAATTTGGTAAAATAAAAATTACCAATTTAAATAATCAAAAAACTTGTGTTTATACAAAAAAAAAAAAAAAATTTTTATATTTGGTTCAAACAAAACTTTTCTCTGATTTTGAATCACCCCAATCAAGGTTTCACAGAAAATTAAAATAAGCGTTGTTTAATCCAATTTTGCTTATTTTAATCCATTTTGGTATTAAAATAAGCAAAATTGGATTAAAATAATAAGCGTTGCATCTTATTTTAATGCCTTTTAATTTTCTGTGTTATTAATCTTCAATAAAAAAATTTTCAAAAAATAGAACACAAAATCAATGAAAAATGTATATTGAACATAAAAAAAAAATCTTATCAAATCACATTTTAATCTTCTTTTGACATATATATAGAAAATTATAGTACCTTATACTGACGAGCGTTTAATGTATATCATTAAATCGAAATTAAAAATGGATTAGGGAAAAGTAAATTTTATCTCGGGGTTAATGAATATAGAAAAAAAATATTTTCTAAATAGTATCAACACTGATTTTGTTAAATTTTTTTAAGAATTTTTTTTTTTTCCGAAACAAAAAAAATAATATCTTGGTGCGCTAAACACCAAGTTTAATTAATCACATGCTAATTTTGAGAAGCAAGAAACTGAAATAACATACAGTGGAACCTGAAATAGAACTTCAAAGTATATATGTGTGTGTGTGTGTGGCTTTAATTACAAATAAATGGAACCAGTTATAATCTTGTATAAATGTTGGAAAAAGAGTGCGAAGGCTTATATAGCGGATCCTATGTCAAGATCTGTTTTGCTATTTGCGCTTGAGAGAAAGAAAGAGAGAGAGAGAGAGAGTTGAACAACCTTTATGGAAGGAATATCAAAGCTATAACACCATCCCTGATCTAGATGAAGTAATAATGGAGCAATTTTGCAGGCATGCGGTCTTCGTTGCGCAACTGCTATTGCCCTCTTTCTTTTACCCTTTCTCTCTCTCTCTCTCTCTCTCACCATGGAAAAAAACGAATATTTTATATTTATTAAATAGCTTATCTTTTTCCACGTGTGAAATACATCGTTGAATTTTCTCTCTCTCTCTCTCTCTCTTTCTTTTTTTTGTCATATATGAATCGCCTTTCAGATCTTATCAATATTATCGGCGCTCGTAGATATTATTTAAAAACCACTTGTTGAATAATTTACTGCCACAAAAAAAAAAAAAAATAGGTCTTTGGAGACAACATTTTTTCATTATATTTTTTTTGCTTCAATGACAATTATTAGGTATGGGAAAAAATTTTTCCAAATTATTTTTTTTTTTTTTGATTTGAAAAATGAGAATAATATAATAATTGAGAGAATGAATGTTATTCGTATTTAGTTCGTCTCTCTCGTGATGTTTAATTTTAATTTGACGAGAGGGTGATATCAGAAGCCCGCATGCCTTTTAATTAATGTCAATTACGTCGTAATTAAAAGCAGTCGAGAGGAAAGAGAGAGAAAGACTGACGATGTTTTTCTAAAACAATATAACAATTTTTTTTTCTATTATTTTTTTTTTCTTTACGGAAATTTAATTTTGTTTTGAAAAGTTTTTTTTCTCTGCACGCAAGCGAATTTTTTGCTGCCACAGTAAATTTTGCTCTTTAATATAGGATTTTTTTACATAGAGAGAGAGAGAAATTTATTTGATTCAAATAAATATTTATTTGGTAATTGCCATGTAACCGATTATTTGAATCAAATTTCCAAAAGTTCTTTTAGAAAAAATTTAAAATTTCTTTTACAGTCTTTTAAGTAACCTTTTTTTAAAAGAAGAAGAAAAACTAATTTTCAAAAAAGAAATCACAAAATCTAAAATTTTTTTCTTTTTTACTATATTTCAAAATATTTCATATTCAGAATACTCACAGAAGCTGTGGGACGGATTAACATATCTCTTATAAAAGTTTAATCTCGAGATTCCAAATTTTCAAAGAAGAGATAAGATACCCCATGTCGTGAGGGGAAAAAGAAATCATTTTTCGAGATTTAAAAAAAAACTGACCTACGATTAATATCTATTGTCTGCTTCTTCAAAAAAAAAAAAAAAAAAAAAAAAAAAAAAAAATAGTTTAGAAAAAAAACGAACAAAATTTATGATATTTCAATGGTCATATATTTTTTTGAAAAAGAAACTAGATTGTTTAAAATTTATTGGTCCTGGGAGTTGTTGCTCTGTTTGCGTAACAACTTTAATTATGTTTTCAATTACGAAATAATTCCATAGTCGGTCTGGCCAAAGTCGTTTCATTTAATTCAAGTGGAAATCGACCGCGAGCAAACGAATATTTATGACTTAGATATAGGCAACATTAATAATCTCATTTTGAAGGGGAGATGTAAAATTAAGCGTTTCTGCCATTGGCGATGACTAATTTACGCATATACTGCTTATTAGTTTGCAAGTTTTTCTTTCTCTCTCTTTTTCTCTTTTTCTCTCACATACAATTGCCCCTATATGCCTCTCCATTGTTTACTGAATCTTGAAAGGATTTTAAGAGCGAACAAGTGATAATGAGAGTGAATTCGAGACGCGTTAAACAATGATTTACGATACCCTTATCCATCTGCAATAGTGTTCTCTTGTTTCCCCGCGAGACATCACGCGTTGAACAAAAGACTATTTATAAAATTTCTACACATCATTATATACAGATGCGACCTACAAATTGTTTTCACTTGTTTTGTTTTTTTAATTTTTTATTGTCGCAAATAATTTTTCTCTTTGATTTTCTGTTACATTATGAAAGAAATTTGTTTAAAACAACCAAATTTTAGTTGAATCAACTCTCTAAATCTGAATTAGTAAAAATTTTGACTAATTTGAATTAGTGACTCACTTTTTGCTTCTGAATTAGTAAAATTTTACTAATTATTAGTAACTTTTACTAACAATTAGTAAAATTTTACTAATTCAGAAGCAAAAAGTTTTTTTCGATTGAAGAAAGAATTTGGAACATAATAAAATTTGTTTGTTTCAATAAAAAATTTTGGTTGTACAACAAAACAATTTTACTAATTCAGAAGCAAAAAGTGAGTCACTAATTCAAATTAGTAAACATTTTTACTAATTTAGATTTAGAGAGAACCAAATGTTTTGTTGTACAACCAAAATTTTTTATTGAAACAAACAAATTTTATTATGTTCCAAATTCTATCTTCAATCAAAAAATTTTAATAAACGTTTATTTATATTAAATAAATATTTATTGGAATTAAATTTTTGTTTGAATCAAAAAAATTGTTGTTTGACATAACCTGAAAATTGTGTTAATAAAAGTAAATGGTATATTTGGTTTAAAAAAAATTTTACGTTACAGATTCAGTAACAAATTTTTGAAACATATATCACTCAGAGAAAAATTTTGTTTGAACCGAATTATTTTTTTTTTTTTTGTATTAACACAATTTTTCAGTTATTTTAATCAAAATTCGTTTGATACAAATAAATATTTATTTGATCTAAATAAATGTTTGGTTTATTTATTTATGGAAATACATTAAAAATGTTTAGTTTAATAAATTTTTACACTGAAGAAAGAATTTGATTAAACGAAATAAAATTTGGATATATGCAAACAAAAATTAAGTTAATGTAGCAATAAATTTAGTTAAGCTAACCAAAAGTTTGGTTAATATAGCAATAAATTTGATTGTTTCTACCAAATTATTTTCTTTCACGAATAAATTTCGTACCAAAAATTGAATTAAAAATAAAAAAGTTAATCAGAGTCAATCGAATTTTTTTTATCGTCAAAAAAAATTTACAAATTCTTGAACTTTACCAGCAGCAAAGTTTCAGAAATATTTGAGACAGGTTTTATATATATATATAGATAAGATAATTAAAAATGTAAAGTAAGACATTTGGTATCTGGTGAAAGTCATCAGAAGTTCCTTAAGGTAAAGACTATATAATACCTTCACAAGAGTCGAATTGATTCTGACCTCTTAATGAACCTGTTAATTAATTCTCGTTAACAGAGTTCGTTGATAAAAGAAAAAAAAAAAAAAATTTTTATTTATACATGTTCATCGACTTTTATTCAGAAGCTGTATACACATTACAAATTGTCAATGAGAATTTTATCAATAAATAAACAAAGGATTTTTGTATTACAACACATTGTATATATAGAAATGATAATCATTGATAAAAATCTCTTCATGCTTCTTCTGTATATATATATATATCTGTATGGTATTTAAGCCAACAAACGGATCTCACTTTGACAGGCGTGCAATAAATTTCATTTAATTGAATGCATCATTAAATGATTATTACATTAAATGAATAAACATATTTTTCTATATTTAAATTTTTTTTTTATCATACGAATTTAAGGAATTAAAAAAAAAATTCTTTTTTCCTACAGTAAAAATTTGCCTTAAATTAATTAAATTATTTCCATCAGAAAATTTATTTAAAAAAATTATATTTTCAAATAAAAAAAAAATGTTGTTCGTAAAACTATTTTGCTAAAAGGAGGAAAATAATTTTCACTAAG